CCTATAAAGATTACTCAAATTAATGTATATTGCACAATCATCCAAAAGTTAACTCTAACATGGGAAATTATTTTTTGTATTATCTAGAATAGTAGATTGGAGACTTCTATGAACATGGATATATATTCAAGATAAACAAGAAATGATACAATTCACCGTCATGCTATAAAGTGTGTCTCTTTTCTTTGAGGAGAAAAGGAAAGGAGATTTCGTAGTTGTGTTAATTTCTCACTTTAAACCATAATAGCTCTCTCTACATTTGAAGAGCTGTTCCAGATACATTATTGAACCTGCTTGTAGGTGCTAATTTCGCAGCCAAGTGCAAAATGTTATTATTGAAATCATCTTTATTGTACAACAATGCATCTTTAATACCTTTTGAGTTGTAGATGAGTCTGCTTGTAGGTGCTAAAGACTCTCTCTCATCGGTTAATAACAGCAACATGAATTATGGAGTATTTATCTCTAAATGAGTCGAGTACCCATATAAGATCATGATATGATTTAATAAGCAGAGTAAAAAATTCAACATTCCCAATTTTTGCTGTAGCATCGAGTATAGGAGTATACGTGAATAAATCTAAAATTTTCTTGTCCTCTAAAGTCAGAATCTGTTCCCAGAGCTCCTCTACCAACTGACTGACTTGTCTCCGCTTTTGAATTGAACCATATATCATTTTGAAACCTACAAATCTTTCCTAAATTATTTCTAAAATTCATGTTAACTACGGAGCTAAAAATTCGAAAAAAAAAGAATCTAAGGAAAATTTGAAATAAATCTATATATTGATCATTCACACATAAAGCCCAGACTTTAAACTAGTATTTGCTAGGAGTTACTTCGAAAAAATAGATAATCTATATTCTGATAATTTTGTGATTGTAAAATGTGAAATTTATTTGGGATTTAGATTACACAGTTCAAACCATACTGTATAAGTCTATTATTTGACTTGGGTTTCTTTGACTAAAATAAATATTTTATTATTTTAATTATTTCTAGGATTTTGGCAAACGGCCAGGGCCTCTTTGGCCCGACAGTCCGGGGGCGCATGTGGAGTGACACTAGCAAAATCCCTATTCCTATTATAAACTTGTCAGTAAAATAAAAAAAGCCGTTTTAATCCCTACCAAATAGGGGCTAAGCATTCTTACTTTTGACATTTTAATTGTTGTTCTAAAAAGGTTCGTGTAATTAATTTTCTACAGCCACACTAGCCGTTACCAAGCATGCATAGCCACGTTGAAGTCAAAGTTGAAAATCCAATTTCCAATGCAAATGCTCAACGATGTAAGTTTCTGATTTCCTTTTATTTCACAAGTTCTAAAGTTGATCAAATATAGGGTGAGTTTACTTTATCCGACGACGAGCCACAATTCTGTAGTGGTGTGCCTATGTTATTTATCTAGACAACCACGTCCGAAGCACGTTAAACAAATACAAATTATAAGATTTTGCAGTTGAGACTACATATATGACATCAAAGCCTAATAATAAGGGAGGGAGAAGTTTCATTTTGGTTCTACGTAATTTTATTTCATCCAATTTTTCATGACTTTCCTACTTGGAAAGTATCCAAAAATCATCATTAACAACCATCGTCCCTCGTTATGATTTGAACAAATTACAACAGGATATGAGTTTTTAACAAGCTGCAATGTAAAGTTGATGTGCTAGTAAATATGAATATTTGATTATGTGAGTGGATTTGGTTTAATATGTGGAGCATCTTCCACTTTCAACACATATTTGATAACAGCATCAGGGGGAAAAAAGGAAGGTCGCCATTTAATATTATATAAAGCTGCTTTAAGTGGAGATTGGAACGCTGTTGAACATGTTCTGAGATTGGACAAAAGTGCAGCTTGTCTTTCGAAAACAAAAGAAGATACGCTTCTTCACCTAGCTGCTCTCACCAAGCAAACTGCAATTGCCCACATGCTAGTCAAATACTTGGACGAAGGAGACCTGGAAATTAAGAACAATTATGAAATACAGTTTTCTTTTGTGCAGCAAATATCTTTACGAAATTACACCTCTTCAAGATTTCGAGGATGGGGAGCGCATGAACAATCTTACTGCAACTATCAACACTGGAATATATGGTACGTACGGTAACTATGACTTCAAGATGACAATGAAAATTATGTTCACAATATTGCAATTTTTCTATGGTGAACATAACTTGGATGCGCATGCACGTGTATTACTCCATCCGCTTGGAAATATTAATTCAACTTTTTTATGCATAGTGTTTTGTGTTTCTGTTTTGTTTTATTGTCTTCTGATGATTAATTAAGCTCATATACAATCACAAAATTATCAGAATATAAATTATCTATTTTTCGAGGTTACTCATAGCAAATACTAGTTTAAAGTCTGGGCTTTATGTGTGAATGATCAATATATAGATTTATTTTACTTTTTCCTTAGATTTTTTTTTTCGAATTTTTAGCTCCGTAGTTAACATGAATTTTAAAAATAATTTAGGAAAGATGTGTAGGTTTCAGAAAGGATATATGGTTCAATTCAAAAGCGGAGACAAGTCTGTCAGTTGGTAGAGGAGCTCTGGGAACAGATTCTGACGTTAGAGGACAAGGAAATTTTAGATTTATTCACGTATACTCCTATACTCGATGCTGCTGCAAAAATTGGGAATGTTGAGTTTCTGACTCCGCTAATTATCCTGATCTTATATGGGTATTCGACTCATTTAGAGATAAATACTCCATAATTCATGCTGCTGTTATTAACCGACAAGAGAGAGTCTTTAGTCTCATCTACAACTCAAGAGGTATTAAAGATGATTCCAATAATAACATTTTGCACATTGCTACGAAATAAGCACCTATAAGCAAGCTCAATAGTGTAACTGGAGCAGCTCTTCAAATGTAGAGAGAGTTATTGTGGTTTAAGGTGAGAAATTAACAAAACTACGAAATTCCCTTTCCTTTTCCCCTCAAAGAGAAGAGACGGATTTCATAGCACAACGGTGAATTGTATTATTTCTTGTATATCTTGAATATATATGTGAATATATATCGACGTTCATAGAAGTCTCCAATCTACTATTCTACACATACATAAATTAATTCCCCATGTTCGAGTTAAATTTTGGATGATTATGCAATATACATTAATTTGAGTAATC